GCCGTGGGAGATTTAATCCCATTTTTAAGTGCAGTCAGGAGATGTCCACATCACAGGGTTCACTTTTCATCCCTAATGATGAGCCGCAGATATCCTGCTGACAAAACAATAAACTTTTCTCTGCAATTAAAAACTTTATTATATCTTTAATATTTTAGAGCTTACAGTAGAAAATGATCAGGGAGGGGAAAGTTCAGGAAACATTTAATTTTGTTACTTTTGTGGTTTTGATTCCATCCTTTTGATAAATGTTTTTACTGTAAAGGCAAATATAAAATCCAGTAGAAGTTGATAAGTTGAATATAATTAAACAAAACAAATCAATTTGTAATACAAAATATTCCTAACTTTTATTTATGAGGTAACAGTACCAGGAAGATAAGTTTTTATGTTGTTACTGTTTGACTTTACACATTAAATCTGTTTTTAGTCTGAGCAACTGAAGAGAAATTAAACAAACTAAGTCAAAGGCTGACAGGCTGATGACATGTCTGATAAATCATTGCTGCAGAAATATTTTATTTGTCAGTCATAAATTAACAGTTCCTAAGAAAAAACTACAAGACAAAACCACAAAGTGCTCCAGAATTATTTCAGTGAGAGGCTGGTATGTGTAATGTGTTTCCCTTACCCCAGCTGGATGTCTTTTTTTTTCTTATATATGATTAAAATGCAATGAAATTTGTATTTATTTATTTATTTATTTATTTATTTATTTATTTATTTATTTATTTATTTATTTTTGCAACAATGCTTCTTGGCAATAAATCATTGGACAGTTTGTTATTTTCCTTTTTAAATGGTTTAGCATGTACATTTGTGGGATGAGCAGCAGGGCTGAGTATGTGGATTTTGCACATGAAAAATTTGCCAAATCAGCTTATTTTGCTGTTGCTGACACTTGTTTTGAGCTTCAGGTGCTGCCAATCAGGTGTTCAATATAAGATTTATGCTAAGAAGCCTTGTTACAACAAAGAAATAATCTACCAAACATAAATTTCCTTATGTTTTGTGCTAAGTTTACTTTTTTTCAGAATGTCAAGCCTCATTTTATTCTATAGTTTACTATTTTTGTTTAGATTTCAAAACTGCTTTATAAACAAATGTGAATATTAACACCAATCATGTTGTGTAGCATATATTTTAATACTTTTCTATTATTAATTTAAACTTTAACTTAACTTAAATTTAACTTTACTAACTTTAGTACTTTACTAACTAAATTAATAACTTTACTAAATAAATTTAACTTTTCTATTATTAATCTACTTTTCTATTATTAATTTAATCTATTTATTACTTTTCTATATCATTGTGAAATCAAACAGATTAGTTTTTTTTTAAATAAGAGGGAAACTATTTTGATTAAAGAAATTTAGCTGATGAATCTGTACTGAACATTAATGACTTGTTTGTTTCGTTGTGTTTAGTAACAAAAGTTCTGATGCTCTTCTTTCTTTTTCTAAGACCTGGTTATTTTTAATCAAGCTGCCTTTTGTCACATCTGACTTCTTTATTCCTCAGGTTTTATTCTTTTATTGTCACTTTGGTGAAAAGAAACAACAAAGACGTTCAATAAGATTGTTAAACTGCATGAACACAGAATACTCGAATGTTGGATTATGCACATATTTTAAAATGACACCCAATAAAATGTAATTATTCTTTATTTAACCCAAATTTTAAAAAGTTTACTCTCTGCTCCACTAGGATGACAAATTAAAGAAAAATAAATAAAAACAGGGGCAGTCTGAGCAAGTTATTTTTTTTTTCTTTGTCAGATCTGAGCACCCTGACTTCAGTGCAGATTACTCCTGGAAACATTTTTTTTTTCATGATGGTTTAACTTGTAAAGATTTTTTATCTCTCTTTTTTTTTAGTGAAAGCCAACAGGGAAGATGAGAAAAGGGCTTTCATGAGAAATGGTGCCAGGTTAAGGCCGAGCCGCACTGCATGCAAAACAGTACAATGGGTCAACATTTGGTGTGCAAATCCATCAGTCCATTCAAATGGAGTCCCAAACAAAAAGCTGATACACAAACAAATCAATAAAGCCGAGGGGCGGGGGAGAAGGGGAAGGGGTGGAAAGAGTTAGAATAAATGAAACAAAAATACAATAAAAGGCACTTCAGCTCATATTACAAAAAGAAGATCTGGTGAGAGAAGCTCATCAACATGCAGGACGTGTCAGATTTATTGTGAGGATGCAGATGCTGTGGCATTAAAGAGTGTCACAATTCCCCACCAACACCACCTGGTGTGAAGGAGTCTCAGCGAGCGAGGCGGTGGAACCTGTCTGCTTCTGGGTCTGTTCCCCTGCTTTAATCCTAGAGACAGGCGCACCCAGCTCAATTCAACTACACAATGGCAGCTGAAAGCTCTCTATGCATGACAGAGTGTGGCTGCTCAACTTTATTAACCTGTAGAGTCTCTCTCTCTCTCTCTCTCTCTCTCTCTCTCTCTCTCTCTCTCTCTCTCTCTCTCTCTCCCACACACACATACACAC